ATATTTGAGGGATGCAACTAATTTTGCTTCATTTTCAGTATTTTAATATCAATATAAGTTACAAAAAGGATCTGAAGCTTCATAACTCCTATTTAATTATATGCGAGCTGGTCGTACTATCATGATCAAGGCTCTACTCAAACTGCTGCAGTTTGAGTAGAGAGATATACATTTTCAAACGATTTGATATTTATACAATACATTAATAATATGGGAAGTATTTAGGATTTTCATTATTGCTAATTGGTTGAAGAAGATCCTTCTTTCTCCACATGGTATATAAGGAAAAACAGTTGAAATCTGAAATATTAACTAGTCGTGAAGGGTAGCACTTCGGATAACCATTTTCAGAATTTATCTATTGAATTTTATTCCATAATAGGTGAAATATTATCAGAGAACTTTAAAATTCATTGCCAGAACTCAAAAAAAGAGAAAAAGACAAATAAATTATCATTGTGGTAATATAGCTACGTTGAAATATTATACCACTATGAATTTTCAGAAAAACATCCTTACTTCGTCTAAATTGGACAAAATGGTAGCTCAAAATATTACTTCACCTGTCACTGAGCCAAGTGACTGGATACATCCAATTGTTGTTCCAAAACCCAATGGCGATATTAGAATTTGCATGGACCCAAGAAAACTCAACCAGTACATCAAACGAGAAACTTCTGAAACTCCCACACAGGACGTGTTATTTTCCCAATTAGTTGGTGCTAAATATTTCAGTCTTTTAGATGCTTCATCAGCCTTTCTTCAGTTGCCATTAACTTTAGAAAGCACATTTCTGTGTACAATTACTACCTGTTTTGGTAGATATCGATACCTCAGACTTCCATATGGAATATCTTCAGTCCCAGAGATTTTTCAAAGATGTATCTATGAAATTCTAGATGGCACTCCAGGACAGGTAGCATATTTTGACGACATTCTGGTATACATATCATCAGTGACAAGGGAAAATCTCCTGATGATAATAAGACCCATGCTATCCGTGAGATGAATCCGCCAAAGTGCGAAAAAGATTTGCAACGTTTCTTAGGAATGATAGTATACCTTTCAAAATTCATTCCTAATCTCTCAAATGAAACAAATACATTAAGAAAACTCTTGAGTGACAAAAATGAGTGGGTCTGTTCTTTGAACGAACAAAAATGTTTCGATCATTTGAAACAATTGATTTCTAATGCGACAACATTATCGTATTTTGATCCTTCAAAAGATGTAGTACTTTCCGTTGATGCTGGACCATACGGTCTCGGTGCTTTCATTAGTCAAGATAATCAGCCTATCGAGTTCGCAAGTATTTCGTTAACTCCATCCCAGCAACGATATAATCATATCGAAAAAGAGCTCTTGGCCATTGTTTTTGGTTGTGAGCGATTCAGATACTATTTATTTGGCTCGAGTGGATTTAAAATTGAAAGCGATCATAGACCACTACTGGGACTTCTGAAAAAACCTTTCGATGACATGACACCACGAATTCAAAGACTTGCTATGAAACTACTGCAATATAGATTCACACCTACGTTTGTTGGAAGAAAAAATATGCAAATTACTGATACAATGAGTCGTGACCCAACCGACGAAACTATAAATACGGACTATCTAGAAACATATTTGAAGGTATTTTCTGTAATAGCAACCAGACCAGAGAATGAAAAAAAATAATTACACCAGCAGCTGATCACCATACAGTAACCGTGCTCTTTTTTTTTTGATGTCCAACCACTATCTTCTGTTGTCGTAGGGGATCCACTTTCCATCACACGTGACGATCCGATCGCAAGAGCGAAGAAGAACAAACTTCGAAACATTAGAATTTCTGTCGATAGTTCAAATCGTGAGTCATCCACTTTCCGAGCTTTTTGACCTTTCCAATACGTTTCAAACCATCAAAAACCGCATGGTAGCTGATGGCTACCGTTCTTTCGTCATTCCTCGTACCGTTTGTGATGAGTCAGTCTCCACAAGGGTACTCAAATCCCCGTCCTGGGGGCTCATTTTCAAGGCTAAAATCTTCGGAACGAAATTTCGCTAATCAACGGCAACGTCGAACAGTGCATTCATAATACCACAATATATAAGTAAGCACCAGTAAGTTCACTCTCCGCCATATTTGGGTCAAGATTCCCCACCTCAAATTTTATGCGCGGCAGAACTACAGCGCAACTGACTGAATCTGAGGCGTTTTCCAAGCGATCCAAATTGAGGCATGGAATATTATTACAGAGTGTCGTTGTGAGTTGTGGTTTTGTATTTGTGAAATATGTGTGTCTAGTTTCAAATTGAGCAAGTGTCAAGCTGTGGGTTGCTGTAATTTGCAGGGTGATGTCGGCATTAATTTTTTTTTATTTCCAATTGACGAAAAAAGGGATGTTTCTCTATTATTTATTATGTAAGATTGAAGTACATATGAACATGAACATATAACGAAAATCATAAAATGAATTGTTATAGACCATATATAGTAAAGTCATTAATATGCAGGCTTTTTATTATGAATTTGAACTTTACGAATAGTATATGCCTTCAGTTGCACTGGAAATCCACAGAGGAAAATAATTGTTGAACCACATCAAGTTTTGATTTGTATCTGTAGGAAAACAATTACTTCCACTGACATAAATAGAGTGAAGATTCTTGTTGAAGTTCAAAAAAATCCTTATAAACCTTTGAGAGTAGAGATAAATGATTATAGAACTCTAGCCACTCCAGAAGGCAACAGCTTGGGCTATGTTTGTGAATATCTTTTGAGAAAATGTTTAAGGAAACATTCATGTGAAGTATGTACAAATTTTGCTGTTACTNCTTTATTACGTAACCATTCAGTTCTCTTTCTAATTGTGCCGCTCTCCGTAATTTTAAAAATTCTTGACGGTTCTCTACTTTCTCTCTCTCTTTGGCAAATTCTCTAAATAAAAAAGCAAACTATTAGTGCGAAAATACATACTCTAGGCCTATAAGTAAATACATTACAAATGAAACAGACAATTGATCCTGTGGTGCATGAAGAATAACTAAAAATTTCTATCTAGCGGCGACTCAATCAGAGACATAGGCTACAAGAAGAAAAATAAAAATGTTTCAAGCAATATTCTGTAGGTTAACCTTCACAAAACATGACGAGCTGTATTCTCAATAGTGGAGCATGTAATACATTTGTATTCATAAAAGTGACTTACTACTGTAAGTGAAAAATAAAAGTAAAAGGTAGAAGGAAAATATTTTGCTTCATGTGGTACCCATAAATTTCATTATTTTCCTGCAAGTAGTGCCCTAAGAGAAGAGTATCTGAAAGGAACTTGGTTTCAACTTTTTTGAACTCATTTTCCATTTCCAAATACTCAGATCATTGAAAACTGTCATGCATACAGCTGAAAATTGTATTGATTTTTCAGAATTTTTGGTTCCTCCAAATTATTTCAGGTAATTGCATTAGGTTTAGAATCAGGTCAGAGTTGCTCCAGTTTTGCCATATCATGCCATTTTCTGGAAACTGTTTCTATTTCCGGATTTTTTCCAAAAATTCCTCCAACGACTGTTTTTGTAAACAGAGACTGTACATAATTCAATGGAATTCGATGTATACAAATCCTTCATGAATTTCATGTTGTTTTTTCATGAAAAAATCCATGTCTAAGAGATAAATGAAAAAAATTTGAATTGGCTCATCAAAATATAATGTAGTATTGAGGGTTTACATAATATAATAATAATGATAATAATAATACGCCATTCACTAGAGACAACAGCACTGAAGAACCCTCTTCGCAGCAAGTATCAGCACAAACTCCAACATATCCGGTTATCGGAGCTGTCGGGAAAGAACAAAGTTGCTACAACGAATATGCTTGCCGTTCCAATCTTACTCTACTCGTTTGGAGTAGTAAGAGGATTCGGAAGAAACTGTATCAACTCAATATAGAGACCCGTTAAAGATATACTTCGATAGAAGTTTGCATTCCAAATCGTCCATTCCACAGTTCTACTTCCCCCGACAACAGACCTTGAATTATTAAAGCGCCCGACCTTCGATTTCCTCAGATCCAGTGGGCTGAAGTGGGTGGTTCATCATGACCTGCCAGAATGATTTCTTCAATACCTTAATGTACTGCAGTCGAATGATGGGTATTGAGGTTCCTGACCCAAGGTGCACTTCCTGTCAGCATATCGAGCATTTGTGGTCTCAGCCAATATCCAACAACATAACGCAGCCCCAAGAGTGCTTTATTACAACTTACGGTACTTTTACGGTATTGACGAGATACCAGTTTTGACCTACGCTCCGGGGGATATTTGATTCCTTGTGTGGAAAGAGACCTGTCGAATTTCTCAAAACTATTCATTTGCCATTTCCAAGCTCATACAAGCTAATATGCCTGATGTAATTCTCGAGTATCAGATCAAGATGATATTCGTCGTAAAGTTTTCAGCTCCTGACGAGACGAATATTGTCCGAAAAGAGCAGAAAAAACGGATAAAATACCGTGATTTTCTCTTCAAACTCCACAGACTCTATCCAGACCCTGTCAAGGCGGTTGTTTTGTTAATTGGATTCCTTGTTGGAGAATGATGCCCTACCTAATATCTGATATTGAGATCATGCAGGCTTGTCGCACTAAGACACTACTCTTAGCTGGACAAATAAAGAGCTGAGGGGTGGGAAGTTGAGTAATACTGAACAATAAAATTTTAACCAAGGAATCTACGGAAAATTTTGAGATAGAATTCTTTCATTTCATAGTAGACAGTTGGCGTTGACAAAGTGGAACTAATGCAACTGGAATTCCTGGATTCCTGAAGTTTGAACTCGCTTGAAAATGCTCTCAGTGTTCATGTGGATTGAGCAGATACTAATCCTCATTTCCAGTGCATGTCAACAATTGACTGATTTACAATTATATTAGAAAGAAACATTATTTCGTCCCGGTGCGATGCGCTAAATGATAATAAACCACCCTTGGGTGTTATATATTCTTTAGCAGGAGTTACCAGGGCATTTTTCCTAAAAAATTCCCTCTTTTCATTTTGCCAAGATATCCATTGCATGAATGATTACGAGTGGTGTACAATATCCGTAATTTTCGCATGGACCATTGCATATTTATTTATCCCGAATTCCATACCGACAGCATGAGTATATTCTTTTACCACCCCTAAAGACTGATAGAGATTCTATTCTCCTGAGACATAAGGCACAGAATCATGGGCCACATGGCTAACCACCTGGTAGATTCAAAACACGGTTTCTGGTAGTCAGGAAAGAGGCCTACACAATCTATCCACTCGGAGGTGTCAGGTGGTAAGGCCCATAACGATGAGATATGGGTTTTCTTCAATAACATTGAAGACTTCGGCTTATCAAAGCGCCTCTTCTTCGCTTTTTTCTGGACGAGTAGGCTGAAGTCGGAAACTGAGGGGATAATCATTGCCTGCTAGGATGGTGTCTTCAACACCTTAGTCTACCACAGTCGGGTGATAGGTATAGAGGTTTCCGACGCGAGGCGCCTGAAACCTTCATGCACTAATGCCCGGCATATGCAGTCCCAGCCTATATTCGATATAACGCGTGCCTAAGAGTGCTTTATTAACACCCACGGCACTTTCCCGGTATTGACTAAACACCGGTGTTGCCTACATTCCGGGAGATATTGAGGCCGTTGTGAGAAAGATAACTGCCGAGTTTATTGATACTTTTCATTCACCACACCCAGGCTCATGCAAGCTGATAATCTTGATGTAGTTTTCGACCATTAGAGGAAGACGATATTTGTCGTAGTTTTCAACTTCTTTCGAGACGAATATTGTCCGAAAAAAGTGGAAAAAACGGATGAATCAAAATGCAGAATCAGGTAATTTAAAAAAAATCATTATTGTATTGATCACACTGACGGCTTGGACAAAATTTTCGTTTCAATCTTCATATTTCTACGTATAGTAATCTACCGTATAGTGGTCGAGATGTTTTCGATATTCATTGGCTATCAGTATTGGTTATTAGAATTTTCAAGATATTATCTTCAATTAGAAAATTTTCCACACATACGTCATGCATTTCAATATTGATGATCTGTTCTATTGAAGAATTTATCTTTATGTTTGTATACATATATACACAGTTCATACAGATACAAGCCTGTCAAAGTTAATATCTTTAGTCGCTTAAAAGCCTCTCTACATGACTGCCTCTAATTTAGTCCTGCAACAATTCTCACAGCAAATTTTTGCAGAGCGAAAACACGTGACCAAGAGGTACATGTACTCTAAATACCATCGCAGATGACAGTTGATGTTTGCATAATAAACGATTAGTAGTATGTTTTCGTGACAATTATTTGATAAGAACTTTAACGCCATAACAATTTTTTCTTAACTTTTTACAAATTACATCAACTTGTGGTTCGCAGCACAATTTATAGTCGATTTTTAGTTCAAGCAACTTAGTCGTTTCACTAGCATATACATTAATGTCATTGTCTTTAAAAATTCAAAACTGTTCCATAGTTCCCCTCAAAGTAAATTTCATCAAAGAGTTTTAAATACATTTACCATTAGATGATTCATTTCGGACCACTCCATTACTTTATTGTATACCATTTCTGATGTTATCACAAGTTTAGTAGTATCTTCGCCAGTTATGAGTAGATTTGTATCACCAGCATATGATATCACTTGGACTTTAGAGATGTCAAGAAGGAAATTAATGAGATCATCAGCATAGATTGAAAATAACAAAGGCCCAAGAACGGAGCCTTGGGGAACTCCCTGTTTAACAATGATTGGCTCTGAGTTGTGTTGATGATTACACTCTGGGATCGATCAGTTGAGTATGATTTCATTAAATTCAATGCTACACCCCTTATACCATATCGCTCGAGCTTAATTATTAAGAGGTCATGATTAACACAATCAAAGGCCCGAGAAAAGTCAATAAAAAGTCCATAAATCTGGACTTTTCCATCCAAGGCTGTTATTACATTTTCTTGAAAAGTATATAAAGCAATTTCAGTACTTCTGCCATTTGTGAAACCATGCTGACTTGAAGATAGCAACTTATTCATAATTAAGAATGAAAGCAGTTGATTCAACTCATAAAGCTTGCTGAAACTTGATAGAAGACTTATTCCTCTGTAATTTTCAGTGAAGTGGGGGTCACCTTTTTCATAAACTGGGTTAATGAGCCCAGACTTGAGTTTTTCTGGGAAAATCCCCATTTTCTACTGACAAATTTATTAGAAAAGCCAGGGGAAAACACAGTTCCTGACTACATTTCTTGAAAAGATTATTAGATATCCCATCATGCCCACATGAATACGTATTTTTCAGGTTATGAATCAAATCTAATACCTCAAATTCAGAAATTGGGGAAAAAATAGTAAAGTTGAACAAATAGGTATAAATTTTTGCGAAAATTTAAGATCAATTCCGACTTTTCCTGGAGTGGGTGTAAAATGATTATTGAAGTTCTCGACCATTTCTCTAGTGGATAATTCTGTTCAATTGTTTTTTTTTCTATTTTCTTGCAAATGTTGCCTGTATCTTTTTGTTAATTGCTGGCTGATATCTCTATATGATGCGTCAAAGATAGCTAATTGAGAATATAATGTAGCCAACTCTTTTAGTTTGATAATTTCATCCGGTACTACGATTTTGTTATAAATTGATCCCGATTTAATACGTCTCATAGGAAAAGATAATTCAATATAGTACAAGATAGTTCTGTAAAATATATCGTATGCTGCATTGGGACATGTTTCAGTTAAAAGATCGTGCCAATCTTCATTTTTAAAGTTGGAGATATTGTCTTCTGAAAAATCTCTCTGGTATTTAAAAATATCAATCTTGTTCTTGTGAGCATGACATTTACCGATCTGAATTGATATCTCAATGAACTGTGCATAATGATCTGAC